TAGGAGTTGAAACATTGGGGAGACAAAAACCTACCTTGGGAAAGATTCCCATACCTGGCCATCACTTACTTTTCCCTGCAGTGACCCATCTAATCAGCCATCAGAAAGTGATAATATGTTCTAAAAAGTCAAGTTTAGCATGGAAAATATTGAAGCATGTACTGAGAAAACACTTAGAAATGTTCAGACCAGTCTCATAGGGTTTGTGACAAGTGATGTCCAGGTGTGGAAATCTTTCTCTACTTTGTCTCTTTACTATATTTTGTTGATAACGTGTCTTCCGAATGGAAGCCTACATTCACGGGAATTATTATAATTGATCGGCCATTAAGCCTATTGGCCGCCACTACATTTAAATGAACTGTAAGCCGAAACCACGAATAACAGTCCGGTCGGGCCTCAGATGACGCTTTTATTATAGAGTAAAACTAGTTTATCAATTTCTTTCCACCAAAACACGTTTACAAACTGAACTCAATTTTCATATATCAATACAATAACCGCCAATAAATTGATATTTAACTATATCATAATTAAACGCGATTGCATTCTTTAGTGGTTCGATGTCCAATTTGTAAGTAAATAGTGCAAATTAAAATGCCCTTTTTTAGAGGGGGGGGGGCTCGAATATGGTATCATGCGTTATTTGCAGTTAGAAGGAGGTAATTCGGGTTTTATAATGGTGCTTTTCAAACATGCAGACCGGACGAGGTTTAACATTAACGGAAACGTTCTATAACGGACGCTGTATCGCGTCTCTTTAATTTGTTACATTAAAGGGTCCATGAAGTGAAAAGATTTTAGGAACTTATTTTGTGCTACTTTCTAATCCTCTTAAGTGGATGAAAACTAATTGAATTCTGTTTTTGATTAATTTTACTGAAAAGTGCACTTCTTTAAACATTTCAATTAGTTCATGCTTTTCCGGACAACGGAGGGCGCAGTTGCTGTGATGTCATTTCAGTAAGACACTGTGGATATTTTATGTTTTCTATTGAAATTGTGAACCCAAACATTTGCTCATTGAAAACATTGCTGAGAAAAGTTTGCTCATTGGCTTACTGCTATGAACTGACACAACAACGAATCACCAAAGAAAAGAAAGTTTACGAAGCAGCGAAATATCGAACATTCTGGCAACTTTCTGTGCACAAACCAATTGCAAAGTATGACATCAAGCTTTTGCTTATGAATATGGAAATTGGCATTGGCATAAAAAGGCACCAAAATACCCTTGAAAAACGGCAGAACAAAAATTGAAAATAAGGTTATTGGGACATAAAGATGAATTTTCAAGAATTGCATTAATAAACCACATTTCATGGGCCCTTTAAACATGGAAATTATACGTATATAGGAATTTGTGCTGCTTAGATTTATCAGGGCCCAATTTCTTGGCGCTGCGCTTACGGCCACAAATTTTGTGCTAACCGCGCTAGCAGAAAAATTATGTGCTAAACCGTAAGCGCAGACTCCTTAGTTACGGGATATACGCATGCGCAGAAGAAACAAAATCCTTCTAACGCGTGAAATACGCTTACCGTAAGCACGGAATTTTCTGCTATAGTAAGCAGGGATTTTTCGGTAACGGTAAGCAGGGCCATGAAATTGGGCAGGTGTCCAAAATGACAGATTATCATGGCGATATAAAAAGTTTTTCATATTAGCAAAGATAGAACCTTAACGTTCTGGATGTCAGGAAGGCAAACTTTATTCCTTTCATTTTATCACCTTGTGTGCTTTAAGCCTTCACGTGTTCTGGTAACTCCAACAATTATATCTGTGTTAGCATTGATAATGTTTGAATCATGTACCACCCTTGGAGTGCATTTCTGTATATTCACAAATAAATCAGTAAATTAAATAAAGGTTAACGAATGATAACGACACACTCCTCCTGTAGATTCGCCATGTTTTTTTTTGTTTTTGTTTTGTTTTTAAAGAAAGCTTCTATACGTGAGTGAATTCCCTATTTTTCAAAACAAATACAATAAACCTAAAGAAAGAAGCTTTTATTTTGTTGTCAAACTAACACAATAAAAGACATGAAAACGAATAAGACTCCTGCAAACTGTTTTTTTTTTTACCTAATATTTGTCTGATGTCTCTGATAACCCTACCAGGGGAAAACAGCAAACTTTCAGGTTCATTAAATGATGCAACTATTAGTCAAAAGGCCAAAAATTCGTTCGCCGAGCTAATGAATATGTGATATACATTCAAAATAGTCTACATTAGAGAGTTCTGAGAGCCATGGAATTGGGGGATGGAAGACATATGGCTCTGCACCTCTGGCCTAGATTTGGGGCATCCAATTCTGAACATTTGGAATGCATTGGGTCCGAAAGTAGCATTATTCCGCAATGTTTATAAAGGTATTCTTTTCATGGCTGCTTTAGGAGTTTGGGAAATATCATTCATTTTAGGGGTGTTCTTCTTTGGTTAAAAAAAATCCTAAAAGTCATTGGTCAACCCACCAAAAATTGAAAAAGAAAATGAAAGACGGCATGTTCAACATCTTTCTTTTTCTGTGCAGGCTGAACACCTGTGGAAGTTATGAAAATGTTTTTTTTTTTTTTAAATGTGTGTAAGTATGGGCATTTATCATTGGTGTCTATGGGAATTTAATTACTAGGCTGCACCCTATATAAACCTTCAAAATAGACGCGGCCACGCTTGCTGCGACAGTAGTTTTTGAGTGGGTCGGACCTCGGGGGGGGCACTAGCATTTCAAATTGATTTACGTTCAAAAAGCGACTGATTTGATTCAATCATAATTCATAATTCTCATTCAAAATGAGAATCACTTTAGAAGGCTAGTTATATTACTAAATCAGACGAAGCGTTCAGTAATAATATTCTACTTCAATTTTTTTCCGTATTTTATTGGTTTTTTTCCCTTCAATATCTTTATGAAGCATATTAACATTGCCTACAGTGTAGCCACAAACCTTTCGTTAGCTCAGAGCAGAATTTTATTATGCCCATGCAAAGAAAAAAAAACATAAAAACGTTTATTTTTGGATAAGCATAATTATTTTGTATAAACTCCAAGGACGGCTCTGAAGAACTTCATATTGTAGTCTATCGATATTAATTCTATTTTTTGAGTAGTCACACGTGCAGCACCATAAAATTCGCTTCAAAACTGAGATCATGTCTTCCATGGAGGCCAACATTAAAATTCGCTTCAAAAATGAGATCATGTCTTCCATAGAGGCCAACATTTGTCCACCATTATTTGCCTTGGTGCTCTCGATCATTTGCCTTGAAGCAATTTCCCATTCCTTGGTGCTCTTTGGTAAAAAAAAACTGAGGAGGTACGGCAATAGAGGGCGCTGTTGGAGCTACCGCAGAACATTTTTGGGGAAAAAAAGATTGACGCGCATGATTAAAATTGACGCGCGCGCTGACCAGAGACCGACTTATTTTTTTTTTTTGGCCTTAGAGACACACTCTTGGAAAAAATGGTCCGGTTAACTCATTCCTTATGAAGGGACTTGCGGTTTGGCCGAAGTCAATTTAGCGTGATCGGCTGACTGATAAGGTTTACGCACCAAACCCCGAGCCAACGAGGTTTTTGTATAGAAAGCTGCCGAACCACATTTTGCGAGAGTGTGTCCGTAATGGGGTTGAAGCCTGCCGGTAATGCTGAGCCTGCATACTGCCAAAGTTACCAATGGCATCCCTACATTTTCTTGTGCAAATAGGACCCATTTGTGGACCCTAATTTTTATCAAATCTGCTTTTAGATAATAGCCCAAAAGCTAGGGAGATGATCCTCGGCTATACTAGCACGATTCCACCGATTTTTAAACTAGACGGTCTCGTTTTTGTACAAAAAATTGTGGGGCACTTTTTATGCAAATTAACGACTCGCGTAGAAATTTTTGAAACCCTAATCAAAATTATTGCGCCCGCTGTCGGTTTTTAATATTGCGCCACTTCTGATATATCTTCTGTCTAGCGCTCCCCCCCCCAGCCACCCCCAGCCACCCCCCCCCCCCCCCCCCCCCCCCCCCCCCCCCACCACCACCACCACCACCACCACATCGAAAAATAATAGTAATTAAATACTGTTAAAAAATTTGCTCGTTCATTTAGACATTCATGAAGCATATCCAGACTGATTGGATGTTTCCAAAGTGTCTTTCCCATTTGCAAAAGTTCTTTTTAAAAGCCCATGGGGGCATGCAAATTGTGATTTGGCCGGCGTATGCAAATTCGGGTCTTTTGATGGACAATCTTAAAGGGAATATACAACATTTGCAAACATCGAATAATAAAACTACCAAGTTTTTACGAAATACCTTACTAGGATGTCGGTAAATGACAGTCTAAAGCATCCTGTAAAATTATGGCACCTGGTGTGAAGTCATTTTCAAGAAAATGGCATTTTTGTATACATTTCCAACGGTGGTCGGCTGTCTACCGTTGGAAAAACCTAACTATTTTTCAACTACTGCTCCGACTTTACTCTTTTTCAGTCCAAATTTTGTTTGCTATTGGTTACATGTTCATGAACGGGTGCAGGCCAGCTAGACTGGTTCCCTTACCTTACAATTTCCGGCATCTATACACTGATCCATTTTATCTTTAGTGGAGTCAAGGAACCAGACTACTTAAACATTTTTGTTTTTCTTGGTTTTTCCAGCATTTTCGAACACAAAACTTCAAACATGTCTGTGTAACAATATTTGATATATTATACTAACCCCTCAAATAGTTCATTTCTGAAAATTACAGCTCACGCCAATGATGTACATTCCCTTTAAAAGGTAGAACCTAGAAGACTAGGAGATTTTTTTTATTTCCGTTTAAGAGTAAAGATTTCCCTTACAAAAACACCTAATTATTTTATATTCTCTGACGTGCCTTTATGTGCGCACCCCGCCCCCATCACCAATAAATAATAAAACGTCATTTCAGCTGGGTTTTGTTACTTGACCTTCCCCCGCCAACAACTAAAACAAAAATAGGCAAAATACTGACAACCTTCCAAGGATATCAAGACTATGTCTCACATCTTTCAAGTTTTATTTATTTTGTTAAATTCCTTAGTCTTATTGACATACAAATATTTAAACCAATTCATACAAACAAATACAAAAGATTCCAAATGAGGAAAAAAGTTGGGCAGAAGGCCAATAAATTTGAGAAATTAATAATCACTTTATAATATAATAGATGATTATTACATAAGCAACGACTACATGACTGTACACGGTGAAGCCAGGTTTTTGTATTTCGCCATTTTGTGAATAAGATTTTAAAAAGGGAAGATAAAACTTGGGAATGCCTCCCCCCCTCCAAAAGAAATTCCTAGATTATTTTGAAACATTTCAGGACTATGTTTTGTCTAATTAAGCTATTATGTGAAAAAAAATATTTGATGCGAGGCAAGTTCAACACTCGATATACATTGCGTTTATCCTTTTGTGAGGTTTGTTAATTATTAATGAGGAAGTGAAAAGACGTGCAAAACCACCAAGAAAAACAATTGTGCATACGAAGTAAAAAATAAAACGAGTAAAAAAAGTGCAATGAAATTAATCACAAAAGGACAAACACAAATGTAATTTGAGTGTCACTTGTACCTGTTGCAATGCATTTTGATGGATAGAAGTTCCAGAACAGTTTATTCTTTAAATTTTCCCAAAAATTTAACGTTCTTGTGTTGCTAATAAATATACAATGGAAAGAAAGTCACGTTTTAGTTAAACCGAAGTCTTGTTAAAATCGTTAAATTAAATAAAGTTTGTTTCATTTCTTCAGTTTTTAAACAATAAATTAATCCTTTTTGAAATCTTTCAAAACTCTTATGACTTAAATTGGTTTTCTTAAAAATGCACTTTCAATATCAAATAAAATTTATAGAGCAAAATTCTCCATTGTCAACTGAACAAAAAGCAGATAGAAAGCCTTAGGCGAGACCTCGGTTATAATTTACCGAGAAGATCCAATTGAATGCATTAAAGGTAAGGAGTATGAAATTATTAACTTATTGATGCAATAATTTTGGATGACCCAGGACAGATCAAAGGAACATCCCTTCTCCCAGACATGGCACTGCTAAAAAAGCCAGTGACAAATTATTACCCTTACAATAATTTTTCAGCAAGTTTCCATTATTGTCCATTGTTAACTGTCTGTTGCAGTATCCGGTAAATAATTTAATGAAATCAAAATTACTTTTCATTTTATTTTATTGTTGTTGCCTTAGTGTATAACATTAATGACGTTGCATTATGCAGTCTGATTTATCATTTCATATTGTGCAAGCTAGTTTTTTAACTCAAGTTTCCGATGAGGGCATCCTTGTCCAGTAGAGCAGCTTCGTCATTGTCCAGTCTCGTCCAAGCTTGGTGGTCCTCATGTCCTAAACATGACAAAATAAGCAAGCAAATTTAAAATATATATAAATATATTAGGAAATCAAGCACTGTGGATTTTGTAGGAGGGACAAACTACAATCAGAGGAATACGAATTATAATCCTCATACCCTGGTCTTTTTTCGTTTTCAAAGTAAACTCACCTCAAGAATCAGTAATGGCCAGGCCAGCAGGCGGTGTCAGTCCATCGTCGGTCCTCCCAGCTTACGATGGCTTGAGGCAGGCTCATCTTCATCTCAGTAAGACAATTCCATCATCAGTCAGTGGTCCTCATTTCTCTACAAGGATTCAAATGACGAAACAAAATTATCTGAAATAGTATTAAGAAATATGTGCAAGGAGAAAGAAAACTTCGATTTTTACCCCACAAAGCAACACAACGCTATACCAGCACTCGTTGTGGAAGAACACAGAGAAGCGCCAATCACCAATTTTGAGTTCTGTGACTAAGAGGAAGCCTACATGTAAACTAACTTCAAGAATCAGTAATGGGAAGCCCAGCAAGCGTGTCATCCGTTCATCTGTCGGTCCTCCTTCCTGCTTCCGGTTCCTCGAGTTTCCGTGTGATGAGGCTGTGGAGCCTTGGAGGGTTGATTTTCGTCCAGACAAAGCAGCCTAGCTCATCCAGTTGGTCTCAACTTTTAGATCATCAGTTTCTTTGATGAAAGCTGCAACTCTTTCCTAAGTGGACAGGGGTACGAAAACACTGGGCCTAGCCCATTTGTTACTAAAGTGAAACATTGTAAATGTAGCCAATAATTATGTCTAAGCCTACCTATAACCAGGTCATGGGTAGGACCCAATGGAAACCAAACGATTCTACCCATGTTTCCATTATTTCCTTTTTAAAACAGACACGATTACTTTGTCATAATGTGCCGACGCTGATAATGGCAGGTTGCTTTGGAAACTGCATATAACTCGTCACACGCGTTTAGTCAAATATTTCTGGTAGGTGTCGCAGTAAAGGTAAAAACAACACTGATTTCAGTTATTTTCGGCGTAAATTTCATCATTTTCTCAGCCACTTGTTGGAAGCGGAGAAGCATTTCTGTGAGGGTGAGAAGAAAATCCGCTCTTGATATGATTTTCACTGCAATGTTTTTACACACATTTGATTTTTTTCTTCAATTTTCGTCATATTCGTTGTCAAATATTTCAGGTATAGGTATCTCAGGAAAGTTAACAAGTAACAGTGATTTAAGCTATTATTTCTTCCAATTATAGCGGTAACTTTGGCGTAAGAATTCGTATTTTTGTCGTTTTTATGTTTTATAATAATGCAAAATAATATGCAGTCTGATTTTGGATCCAATATTCCGCAAATTGGAAAGTGTCTGATGAGGGCACCCTTGTCCAGATAGAGCAGCTTCGTAATTTTCCAGTCTCATCCAAGCTTGGCGGTCCTCATCTTCTAAAAAATGACAAAAATAGTAAACTAGCAAAATTTAGAATTAATATTTAAAGAGGAAACCAAGCATCGTAAGAGGTGACATAGTATTAAAGGAATAACAAATTTAAGTGTAGGCCTACATTTGCATGGTCTCATTTCAAGTAAACATACCTCAAGAATCGGTGATGGCCAACCAAGCAGGCAGAGTCAGTCAACCGTCGGTTCTCCCAGCTTATGGCAGCTCGAGGCAGGCTCATCCATCATAGGGCAATTCCCTCACCAGTCAGTGGTCCTCATGTCTGTAAAAAGATTCAAATGACGAAAGAAAATATCCGAATTATTATTAAGAAATATCTTAAAGGTAGAGCAAGAGGAGGGGGGCAGAAATGTTCGAATTAACACCACAAAGCAGTGCCCCACTACCAGCACTCTTTATTTTGTAGAAGAACATAGAAGAGCGCCAGATCACCCATTTTGATTACTTGTTTCTGCTCATTCTTTAGGTACATGTTGCTTAAAACTAACCTCAAGAATTAGTAATAGGAAGCCCAGCAAGCAGGTCATCCGTTCATCTGTCGGTCCTCCTCCCTGCTTCCGGTTCCTCGGGTTTCTGTTTGATGAGGCTGTCGGAGCCCTGACGATGTCTTGAGGCAGGCTCATCCTCATATCAGTAAAGCAATTCCCTCATCAGTCAATGGTCCTCACTTTGCTGAAAGGATTCAAATAACGAAAGGAAACATTTGAATTATTGAGCTGTATTCGTGCCAGGGCTCGAAAGGGGAAAGAAAACATTGAATTAACCCCACAAAGCGAAGCCCTGCTACCAGAACTCGTTTGTGGACGAACATAATAACAGAGTCAGATCGCCCATTTAAATTAGTTCTGTGACTTGATTGTTCCTGTTAAGAGGAGGCCTACATGTAAACTAACCTATTAATCAGGAATGGGAAGCCCAGCAAGCAGGTCATCCGTTCATCTGTCGGTCCTCCTCCCTGCTTCCGGTTCCTCATGTTTCTGTTTGATGAGGCTGTTGGAGCCCTGACGATGTCTTGAGGCAGGCTCATCAATCCCAGTAGAGCAATTCCCTCATCAGTCAGTGGTCCTCATTTTTCTGAAAGGATTCAAATGACGAAAGAAAACATTTGATTTATTGAGCTGTAATCGTGCCAGGGCTAGAAAGGGGAAAGACAACATTGAATAACCCCAGAAAGCAAAGCCCCGCTACCAGAACTCGTTGTTTGTAGACGAACATAGAAGAGCGCCAGATTGCCCATTTTGATTTTAGTTCTTGATTGTTTCTGTTTAAGTAGGCTACATGTACACAAACCTGATAGTCGGTAATGGGAAGCCCAGCAAGCAGGTCATCCGTTCATCTGTTGGTCCTCCTCCCTGCTTCCAGTTCCTCGAGTTTCTGTGTGATAAGGCTGTTGGAGCCCTGACGATGTCTTGAGGCAGGCTCATCAATCTCAGTAAAGCAATTCCCTCATCAGTCAGTGGTCCTCATTTTTCTGAAATGATACGAAAGAAAACATTTGAATTATTAAGCTGTATTCATGCCAGGGCTAGAAAGGGGAAAGAAAACATTGAATTAACCCCACAAAGCAAAGCCCGCTACCAGAACTCGTGTGTGGAAGAACATTATAACAGAGTCAGATCGCCCATTTTGATGAGTTCTGTGACTTGATTGATCCTGCGAAGAGGAGGCCAACATGTAAACTAACCTCAAGAATCAGTAATGGGTAGCCCAGCAAGCAGGTCATCCGTTCATCTGTCGGTCCTCCTCCCTGCTTCCGGTTCCTGAGTTTCTGTGTGATGAGGCTGTTGGAGCCTTGGAGGGTTGATTTTCGTCCAGACAAAGCAGCCTAGCTCATCTATGCAGTCTCAACTTTTAGGTCATCAGTTTCTTTGATGAAAGCTGCAACTCTTTCCTTAGTGAACAGGGTTACGAAAACACTGGGCCTAGCCCATTTGTTACTGAAGTGAAACATTCCAAAGCATTATGTCTAAGCCTACCTGTAATAAGGCCACTTGTTACCAATTAGAAACTACACGATTCTACCCATGTTTCCACTATTTACTTTTAAAAACAGACATGATCTTTTTTGTCATAATGCACACGAACATGTGCCGACACCGATAACGGCAGGTTGCCAATAAGTTGTACCCTTTCACAATGTACCTTTTTTGGTGGGGGGCGGCAATTAGGTCTTTTTGAAGGCACTTTTCGACAATGCCAACAATTTTGATGTTTTTGAAATACCGCTGTATATAACTGAAATTCAGTCATTTTCTAAACAGATATTTTGTTCATTATGGTGTGATTTTTTTCTCGTAATTTCGTCAATTTCATTTTCTTTTGCTGCCGTCATTTTCCCACCGTTTGCCAATATTCGCTTTCCGACTTTTTGAGGCAATGTACCAATTGCACCAATTTGCATGTACATGTATTTACTTCTCTCGTTGCGGATGATTAATTTTTATGCCGTTATTTTCGTCATTTTGATTTGTTATTTCGATAACCCATTTTGTTTACTTTATGGCAAGAAAAATAATACTGATTTCGGGTATTTTTACTCTCACTAACGCCGTGATGTTTTCCTCGCGTTATTTTCATCATTTTCCTAGCGTGTAGGCCTACACGTAGAAAGCGGAGTGATTTTTTTTTCGGAAAAAAAAATTCGATTACGATGTGATTTTCGCTCCAATTTATTTTGGACCGATTTGTATTTTGTTTTCCGTTTTCGTCATACGCGTAGTCAAGTAAATATCCGGGTAGGTATTTTTTATTCCAATACTGCCTAACATTTTTAAGTTGATTTCGTATTTTCGTCAATTTGAGGTTTGCCTCTTCAAAACCGTAACATTTTTTGCCCGACGTATTGCAGTTCAGAAAAAATAACACTGATTTTAAGTATTATTCCTTTCAACTTCTGCTTCGATTTTGCTTAACGATTTGACATTTTCGTAGCCGCAACGATTAATTTGATTTAAAAATTTTTAATTTTGTCTATTGTCAGAGACAACAGACGGATACCATTAAAAAAAATCACACCACACAGAGAGTAATGCACACAAAGGGAAAAAAATCAAACATGCAACATGTACAATGCAACAAAATACAATCTACTTTCGAGTTTTTTCCCTCAAAAGTCATTCTCTCTGTAAGCATTTTTTTACTCACAGATAAGCTTAATAATGAACCGAGCTAAAAAGCTCTTCACAGATTAAAAATGTCTTTTATACAAATTTATGCAAAGTATAATTAACCAAAGTTATGACTTTTGATTTTACTACGATCATTAAAATATGGTCAACTGTCAACTGTGTCCTCACTGCTCACGGCAGACTAGCGAAGTATAGACAATGCGGCGCTTTTACAGACGCTGTTAATCCCCAGATTTTTTGACCTTTTTTGTGTTACTATAAGAGCGTATATGTCACCTTAACAGAGAGCTCATCGAGGAATAAGTGTTAATTATTAACCAACAGTTTTCTATGTATGGCTATTTAAGTAGTAACGTCCTTCCGTGTTTTTGTTCAATGGTTTAAGTTTTAATGTTCAAGTTCTTCTGAAGGAAGGGGCCTCTTGGAAATCGGCGCTACTAATATGCACCGAAGAGGGTGTCCCTTACAAGTGACACTGCACCAGGCATGGTCACTGTCAATTGCCGATGGCCTAGATATTATGAATCTTGTTTGCTCTTAAACATATTATACAATTATAAAGAAATTATATCGTCGTTGGTGGACAACGCACCAGGCATTGCCACTTTCTGTAGTTGTTTTACTAACTTTGTTTAATTATTGTTTTGAGTTGGGCAAAGTACCAGCCAATGTCCGTATAGCGGGCAGCATTCCAGCTAATCGATAAAACATCACAAAATGACTCTCAATCAATTACAAAATCGACTTAGAATTTGCGAGTGAAGTTTCTTAATAGCGAAAATAAAATAAAATACACCAGTACTTTCAAGTTTATAGTTTAGGGGGACAGTGTTACTCATTATATATATATATATATTTTTGTTTTTTAGAAAACCTCTTAACTCCCCATCGCACTGCCTGCAGGCTCCATGTGCGCATGCTCGCAGCGGGCTATGCTTGCTTCCTAATTTTCTTTAGCTTCGTTTTCCCTAACACTGTTCATTGCACTTTGCTAAAACAGTTCCCTAGATTTTATCACTTCGAAGTATGGTACACGAAATCGCGCGATTACGCAGGTACGCGGATATGCGGATATGCGGATACGTGGGTACGAAGACCAAGAGGAGATGAACACATTGTTCTTATTTAGGGCCTACTACTATACATATGACAATCACAACGTACGTACGTGATACATTTAATTTATCACATACGTACGTGATAATATAATGTTACGTACTAACGCAATATTAGTATTATTATTGCGTACATACCTGATAAATAAGTACATATTACGTACGTACATGTATTGCATATGTAAGTGATAATACGTGTATCCTTAAACGAGTATACGTTGTGTATACGTACTTAATAATTATCACGTGGGCCCTACGTACGTAATAATTATCACGTGGGCCCTACGTGATAATATTACCTACGTACGTGATAATATTCAAGTACGTGCGTGAGTTACGTACGTACGTGACAATAACACATACGTAATAGTATTATGAAAAAAAAAACTAAATAACTCCCATGTCCCTTCACGGTCTTCGTACCAAATCGTCTCCGGTCAAGCCAAAAAAAAACAAACCACGAGTTTGCCGAACATTACGTATGAATATGCCTTATTGTCGAACGGAAAAGCGATAGAACGCGGTGCGGAGGTTTCTAAACGCGTATGAGAATATTTCGCCGAATCTAAATGCCTATAACATTATCCTAACACTCCTACAGATCCAGCAGCTGCTTTGCTTTGCGGATGCTGCATAATGCACGCCTGCAGCGTCTGCACTCCTCCCAACTTAACATACAAAAAAACCTAATTAATTGTTTGCATCACTTGCACTAACGTTTTGCCCAGAATGTTGACTAGGTTTTATATTGTTTCAATTTATTTTTTAGTTTCTGAGACTGAGGTGGAAAGCGTCTTCTAACCTTCTCCAGAAAGGGAGTTACATAAGACCTGCAAGTCAATGTGACAATGAAGGAGACACTGTCACAGGTTTATCATTGAAAATACTGGTGTAAATTAGCGAGTTTACTAATTATTCAGGGACAACAATTTGAAGAAGAAAAAGCTTTCCACTGGAATGCTACCCTTCAACTGTTTCACGTGCGAACGCAATGTCACTGCACGTGTCTGACGAATTCTTTCGAAATTGTATTTTCTCCCCACGTGCGAACACAATGTCACTGCACGTGTCAAATTCCTATTGGCAATGCATTATTATTGAATAAAATAATAATTTTCGTTCAACCTTAATTCTGCTGTAATTTATCTTCTATGTAAACTTTTTTTAACATCCAATGAAATTTAAGGAGTTCTCTGTTTCAGGTGACAAAACTCTACTTTTACCAGAACTTACACACGTTATACACATGTACATTAATCAGAGACATGTAACGTACCTCTTTCTACTCTTGAAGACATTGCCCCTCTTGGTGTTGATCTTGT